TATCGACCAAACCAGAATATAAGCAGAAGTGCCACTGAGCCTGGGCTGACGCATCAACGTGTCGGGATGTAAGCCAGTGCTTTTAAAAAAAAACCCCATAAAAGCGCCAAGAAATCTCCTACTCATTCTGTTTGGTGTCAAGACTGTCAAGGATACCCAAACGAAAAAGCCATCTGAGCTTTCTTTGCGTCCAACTTAACTCTCATACACACCCCTTTCTCTCTGATTCTATACCAAAGCACTCCTCTCCCAAGACGTCAACAAGTCGAGTGAGCCTGATGGAGATGGAGGAGAGGTTTTAACGCGTCTTTTCTGGTACTCTTACTCAAGGCGAAGTCCCGAATGCATGGAAGATAGCTTTCGTTCATCTGATCCATAATAAAGGCGACCGCTCACACCCGTCCAACTACAGGCCTATCGCTATTACCTCTTTGTTCTCTACTAAACTGCCAGCTCATGCCGTACCTTGAGGATCATCAGCTGATTACTGACCACCAATACGGTTTTCGACGGGGTCGATCAGCTGCTGATCTTCTGATGTACATGACTCACAGATGAGCGGCAGTAGAGTCCAAGTGGAAGCATTGGTCGTTAGTTTTGGACATAACAAAGGCCTTCGATCGGGTTTGGCACAAAGCGCTACTTTCGAAGCTCCCCAAATTCAAGCCAGTCCCAGTAATAGTGATGCTTTATACACACAAAGTTGAAACTTTGTTGTATAAAGTAACGGATTGAGGACGCCTAAATCTAGTCCAGTTGTATCCCCAGAAGATACAGGTTTGCGGGTTTACGTCTAAAAAGAACTTCTTTGTCGTATCTCCTGTTCAAGGCACTTCCCTTGCTGCCTCAGTTAGCATCGAAATCCTTGGCGTCGACAAATCCAATAGTGTGCAGTTTCGTTGTAACTTGGAAGGGAAGGCCAAATTGGCCTCTAAAAAAGCTTGGGGTGCACAACCGAGCATGACAATGTTTAATGCCGGCGCACCGCTTGCAACTTTATAAGGCGCAAGTTCGTTCTCACATACTGTTCTTATCTCTCGCGCGAGCCATCCATGCTACAACCATAATAAAACTGGTGTGTGGCTCTATCACGTCTGCGTGTACATAATGTACGTTCATGATTAATTTTCAAATAATGATATCGATGTTTGATTCTTTCGCTGCAGAATTATGTAATTGGAACCTGATTAAGTTATTATCAAAACCGGTCTAGCAGTTTTTTATTATGAATAAATTAACTGTAGATCTAAAAAGAAAAAATCTGTACTGTTTACTCAGGCAGGGTTTTGAATATAGCAATTTTTGTTGTAAACATTTAATGGTGTAATGTTATTTTCATATTTCATATTCCAGCTTTTCTATTGTTTGTTACTTTCTACGGGGAAGTTTGTAGTGAGGGCCGCCCGGGTCGCACCGAGACAAACTGAGGTTAGTTTATTTCAAGCTTTTGACATGTGACATGCTAATGTCGATTAAGATTACAAAAAAGAAACATTACTTTTATTAGTTAGTCAGTCATTAAATATATTACTTTCTTTCTTATCTTTAAAAAAGTTACTCCAAATCTTTCCTGTATCGACAACTTAAAGGCAATAATAATTAAACTGTGTGGATATTGCATCCGCGCACTACAGCCTCGCAGCCAAACACAATACCACTTCACATCACTTAATGTAAATCATGTATTTGTAAGAAAATTTTTGAAGCAAAATAATTAATTTATTAAATATAAAAATATAGAAAAGTTGGAGTAAAGTTAGCAAATTATAATGGAGCTCCTGGAGCACAGGTCTTCTGCCATTACTGAGAGGGTTATGGAGCAATAAGTCTGCCGCGCTGCTTCAGTGTGTGTTAGCGGACTTCACAAATATTCGGAATAATTTTATGCCACTGACATGCAGGTGTGTTACTTCACCGACAAACACGTGATAATTTAGCATTTAAAATTTTAATTAACAATTTCACTGGTTCGGGTTATGCTCGCGTACTGTTAAATTTACGGAAAGCACTTCGCCCTTGAGTTGAGAATTTACAAAAATACTTAATATTTTTATAGTAGTATATCTTTATCTATAATATTTCATAACGTTGATATAATTTGTAGACTTTATAAAAATATACTTAATATTTTTATAATATGATATATTTATTTATAATATTTCATACGTTGATATTAATTTATAGACTTTATAAATATGTAGTTAATATTGTTATAAAATTTATAAATATAAAGTCTATACCACCACTTTATAATTATTTCATAACAAAAATTTTAACATCATGGTGGAGGTGTCCCTGCCAATGTGCGGCGAAGGTGTGTGGTACACCTATGGGGTTTTAGTTGGTGTGAGTCCGATATAATCGGTCCGTGCCCCCGCGAAGCGGGTATGTATAGACATTTCCTCATGTAAAAAAAACAAAACGGACACTCCGTGATCTTCAGTAACCACTTATCAACAGGTGGACCGCAAGTTTTCACTTCAGTTTTATAAAACAAAAGTAAAATGGCGAATTCAAATACATAACCTTTTTATTTGTTGACCATACTGTCGCTTAATATTTAAAGTAATATTTTATTTTAAATTTCTAAGTCTTAATATAACATGCGTATGCGCAATTAGTCTTAATTAAACCGCTTTATAAATCTGGTACAGCGTTTATAATGCGTGGTGATAACGAACTAGACATAATTTAAGACATTTCAACAATTGGAATGATAGTTAAGAAAGTACCTACTGTGAAGACAAAATTGTAATTTATTTAAAAACATTACATACCATAAAGTTATCTGTTAGCACAAAACGATGCTAAAGCTTCATATTGCACGCCTCATAACGCAAAGCGTAATTAGATAGTGCATTACTCTCGACACGTCAAGGTCAAGCAATTTTGTGGTCTTAAAATGCCTCTATCATAACTATATTGCACTTAAACGATAATTTGATTAGCCGTATATCAAGAAAACGCTAATTAATCCATCTTGTATTTTCTGTAAAACGTGGACGTCTGGATATAGATTTCGTATGGTGTCACGATAACTCCCGAAAAAAATGATGTGTCAATACCGGTTTTTTATTAGCTTCGGAATTACATCAACTGACTCGCTATTTCATAACAATAAGTACGCGTAGTTTGTTAATAAAAAAAATTCACGTATTATTGCTATGAAAAAATTAAAGGCGCTTTCATTTTTTGTTTTAGCCCTTGATAGACAAAGGACAAATGTACCATACAGCCTACATCGATTTTTGAAGTAAAGCTTCTTTACGCACGCTAGATTTGGGGAGTAAACTGGCGAACACGTGACGTAAGCATTTCGAAAAGTGTGATCGGGCGACGCAAAGTGGGGGATATAAGCAAAAGAGAGCAGTAAACGCGCACATTTTCTTTCTCTCATAGCCAGTTATTATTCGTAATTTTATTGCGTTTTGAACAATTTTATGAATTAATATTTTGTTCAATACATTAAATGTTCTAAGCTTAAAGTGAATAAAATTGTAAATTCATTTTAAAGTTCATGTTTTGTGTATTTTCGGGTGAAAAATAACAAATTATGGAAGGAAGGCGATAATAAATTTAAATATTTGTAGAAAATTAATATATGTATATACATGTATATATTATACATATATGCATATAGATATACTAATTTTACTATATTATTTACAATATATATTGTAAATAATATAGTCGGCTCCCCTGATGGTAAGTGGTTACCGCCACCCATGAATAACACCAGGGAAATTGCAGATGCGTTGACGGCCTTTTAAAAAGGAGTAGGCTCTTTTCTTAAAGTTCCCTAAATCGTATAGTTCCGAAAAATCTCTGGTGGTAGTCGATTCCACAAGGAAGTTGTGCGAGGAAGAAAACTTCTTTTAAATCGCACAGTGGTGGACGCCAGTCATCCAGATGGTATGGATGGTATCGCGAGTTTTGTCGCGATATGCGATGGTGAAATTGTGCGGCTGGAATTAGTCCAAACAATTCCGCAGAGCACTCCCCGTGGTAAATATACGCATAGAGATGCAACATGTCTTCGCAGTGCCAGAGATTCAAGTAGATCGGAAAGAGCTTGGTCGCGGACGATTCGAACGGCTCTGCGCTGGATGCAAGGAAATGGAAGGAGCTGGCACTGGAGAGCCCCAGCGCAGAGACAGGAACAGTACTCCATGTGCAGCCGAAACTGCACCTTATAAAGTTAAATAATGTCCCGCTCTGCTGAGGATGCCAAGATT